CCACCTTAAAAAAAAGAAGAAAAAAAAAAAGAAAAAGAAAAAAAAAAAAACTATCCTATCGTCCATCACAATGATACACATTTCTATGTTACAACCACATAGGAAAATAGTCACATGTTAACAATAAAGAACAGAATTTAAAACACAGAATGTTCTTTTTCAGGAAATCCAGTAATGTTATAGATTACATCAAATACTCTGGAGTAATGTACACACAAGCATGTAAATCCAAGAAAAGAAGAAACAATCACAAACAAAAATACATGTAAACACACACGCATGCATGCATTCCAACACACATACACACATTACGCACACACACACACACACACACTTACACACATATTCTCTCTCACTTACTTTTGCTTGCACATGCAGATATATGAACATGCACACATGCATGCATGAATGTACCCCCCCACACTCACTCACTCACTCACTCACTCTTTCGCTCTCAAAATACAAAAAGAAAAAAAAAAAGAGAAAAATACTGTGGGTATAATAACAATATAACACAAAAGAGATTTTTTCCATAAAGAATGAATGTTAAATATAAAGTAGTTGGAAAAATAGAAAAGATAATCAACATATTCAACTACAAGAAAAGGAAAGTCAAATACAGAATATAAACTGCTTTGGCAACAAGGAAATGACATTAAACCTATAATACAAAACACCTCTCCAGTTATGTGAGAATACTCATTTTTGGACATTGTGGAAAATTAAAGCAATATTACTTTTAAAACTTGTGACATAATAATGAAGACAGAAAAGAATGTGGACTCTGACATATTATTACCTAAATAAAATAAAAACCCCTTTCTTAATGTAAATAGTTTGACAGCACCGTCAAAATTTCAAAGACAAGGAACAAGAAAAAAAAAAAGGAAAAGAATGAAAAAAGGAAAAAAGGAAAAAATACATGATGAAAAAAAAAAAAAAAAAAAAAAAAAAAAAAAGTGTGTGAATAAGTTTTCCAGAATCCACATTTTGGGAAGATGAAGACTCAAATTCTTATCATTTTCCCACCTGTCACTAAAATAAAGGTCCTGAAATCTGTGACGTTCTTCAATTCCACCTACACGGGAGTGGCCCCTATGTCCTATTCCTCCTCTTAGCCTCATTTGACCTTTCTGCTGATTTCTAGGCTTCCAATCTGCATAAAAAATTCTGACCAACTAAAACCTCAAATGGTTTCATATAACATTATACCATTAATCCTGTCCTCTTACCTCCCGCTTTGGGTCTTTAGCTGCATCACACAAATGCACTCTAATAACACTAATAAAGTATATTTCTGATCCCATGAAAATAAAATTAACAGTGGTAAGCTTCTGTAATAGATTCATTTCTAGAAAAAAACTGAGGTATGGAGATGAAGAACTGCCTTTCTCTCAGATCTCTAAAGGTCATTATGCAGTATTACATGAATAACCTACTGTGTTGTTTTTTGTTTTTTACTGATACTTATGTAATTCTCCTCCAATCAAATATATTCTACCTTATAACATACTTCATTTGCAGATATTAGTTGAAATAACATTTTTATCTTATCAGTACAAAGTCTTCAAAAAAAGTGAGTGAGTGAAAGACAGTCATAATACCACAACTTCTGGCACTCAAATAACAAGCCTATGAGCCTCATCCTAGGTACCAATTACATTCTGATCATATTAACTGAAATAACCAAGTTAAAAATGAGTGATATATATTTTAACCCAAGTTCAACCATCTCAAATAGGCCAAGAACTAATACCTTAGGAATGAAAGATCTTTGATCATGTAACTGTGGCAAAATAAAAATGAATGCTAATTCATACACAAAAAAGATAAGAAATGTACATGTATAGCAAAGAATGCATACTCTAACAGTCATGCATCAGTATAATGAAATTATAATCTACTAAATCAAATTTGCATGTGATAACAACACTCATCTCAGCTTTCGAGTTCTTGCTTAAATCTCGAAATCATGCATCAGGACCGTTTACCAAGGGAGCCATTGAATGTGTAAATTTTTTGAACTGAATCCAAGAAAAAAATATTTTTTACAAGAAGTCTGCTAAATAGCAGTATTTACAATTGCAGCACTTTTATCATGAAATACACAAAAATATACGTAAGGAATCTTAATCATAAGAATGCAGAAAAATACATATTACCTCCTCTGTTTCTACAGAACATACATATATATACACACATTTCATTTATGGAAAGCCTTGTAATTCTGGCTTATTTAACAATACTTGCCATATAAAAACACTCAAAATAAAACACTATCAACAATGCCTCCACAATAGCATCTAAAAAATGAATAATACCACTGAAATCGACATATAAGTTAAATGAAAATATCATTGTTTTTTTTAGTCCATCTGAAAAAAAGCATATTAAACAAATAAAAAATTTACAGAAAATATATGCTATATCTTGCCAAAATCTGCAAAAAATATATGGCAACAAAAACTCTACAGGTTTTGCTGCTGCTCCTCCTGAAAATCATTTCATGGGTATTTATAGAGACAAAGACATTTTGTTATTACTCTTATAACAGCATAAATTACTATTTGTCATGGCTCTTTCAAAGCATATGTGGATAAGTTACAATGCATGTAATTTCATCTAACTATTGGCTAGCTAGTTCTCTTTCCATTTTGGAATCTCTCCTTAACCCATTGGATTCAGAAGTTATGACCTTCACATCAAGAAAATTTGGCAGTGGGTCAAGCTGTTCGGAATGACATACCAAGAGAGGTTGTTGCCAAGTGGCTGGTGACAGGAACATTTTGCTATGAGCGCACAAAGCTCATGGAAGAACATTAGAGTCAGTGGGTATTCAGGAATGATATGGTATAAAAATGACACAAAACAGTCTATTACCATCTTGACACAGCTTAATAAATGACAAATATAGACCTTAGAAAATGGCAAAACAGCAAAAAACGTTAGGCATAATAGCATTGCAAAGAGGAAGAGTCTTGATATCACAAATTTATTTGTGTGGGCTTGGCCTACAAACCACACACCGAGGAGAGCTGCCCCTCAAGAAAGCCTAATGCCCAGAGTTTGTTTCATGTATAACCTGCAAGGCACCTGGATCTAGTGAGTTAAGGGCATAATAGACAAAAGGTTTGACTCCGAATCAGGAATCACAAAGTTAAGTTCAAAGTTTCAAGAGTTTCCAAAGCAAAATGTATAAATGCTCATTAAAAGGATAAAATAAAATTTTCATTTTTTGTTCATATTCTACCTATTTAATTACATACTCAGTGCCTTTGGTCTCTCAGCTGAAACACAGAACTGGGAAAGTCTGTTGTCAAATTGGCTTTTAGAGCAGTCAAGACCTTTCAAAATAATGGGTCCCTGGGATAATTAATTCAAGTAAAAAGGATCCTAAATGGCAAAATTATTAGAACCCCCTGGTTTCTGTTACAAAGGTCCTTTCAATTTTGATCTTTTGCATATTAGAAATGCTGTGGAGCAACTACAATACACTGCATATATCTTTAAAAGTAATACTATTAGCTAAAAAAAACACTATAGTAACACCCATTAAACAAAAACTAACAAACTTTTATGCACCTATAGCTATGAAATAAAATTACAATTTTTTATACACCCAGAGCAATGTAACAAAAATCAACATTTATCATATAACTAGAGCAATACTCTGCTTTATGAGAGTAATTTCTAACTGATGTTTTGTCTAATACTTATAAATTAAGTTGATAAATTATGGTTATGAAATCCTTATTAAGAAAAAAAAAAGGCATTTCACATGGCTTGACTCATTAATGAAAAATGATGGAATATATCCCCAATATTACCCACTACTGTTGTCAGTTCTGTGGCACAGCTTTACTACTATTCTAGTGCAATTAAAGTTTAAAAGTAGTATATAGTCTGAGAACATCAGCTAACATTTTCTTATTATATGATTCAACCCACCAGATCCAGTGACTTGACTGCCATGTCATGGAAAAAATGGCTGAGGGCTGAGATGACAGGAACATGCCTTCATGAAAAATTCAGCAAAGGCCTGAGTGATGGGAATGATTCGTCATGAATCCATATGACCTTGCATGATGATTTGTCTCCGTGACAATTTAGGG